TGCACAAATAATTAATTTTTCATTACAATCGGTTACACATTAAAACAATTTATTTATTAAAAAATATTATTTTTATCATAAAAATAAAAGAAAAATTATGATATGTTTGTGCTGACTCTCCATTTATTATACATACATTTTTTTTTTAATTTTTTAACAACTGTTTTAATTGTTCAAAAGTGTGTAAATTTCAATATAAGCAATTTCTTAATTAATATTTGTGCTGCGTTGAGTGCAATAGCATTTAATGAACAGCTCAAAAAATTTATGAAAATCATTAAAACTTATAATTAATGAACACCATTAAAATCACTTACAACAATCAATAAAAATATTTGTTGTGTCATAAACGCTTTTTTAATAATGCATTTTATGTGACTTTTTCACATATTTTTTTAAGCTTAATTATTTTCTTATGCAACGCTCTTTGCGCAGGACCTCGTTTACAAATTTATAGCATTTGCAAGCAAACATTATTTATATATACAAACATTTACCATATGCACTCATGAATGTGTGTGTGTATGCACTCAGCCATCAAGCGCAATTGCATGCGACTGCAGCCGTTGCAACGGCGCATGCTCCACTGCATTGCTGCTTATGTAATGTAATATCGCTCCGCTGCTTGCCAGCTATTTTCTATGAAATTTCTATTTCGAGTTTTGGGATTGCGGCAACAGCTTGAATCGGCGCACAACAGCGAAAAAATGTACCACTTATACATATGTAGATATATAAAAAACGTAGAGATGAAATGTAAACACACAGCTGTACAACAAATACAAAGTTGCAAACAATATCAAAGTGTCAACTTGTTGCAAATTATTTTGTATCAATACAGTGAAAGAATTGGTTGTTGTTGTGTTTGTGAGCAAATTTTATGTCTCGACAATGATGATTGTAATGAATTTCAATTAAATATAAAAAAAAACAAAGAATTAGAGAACGAAAGAGCAGTTTTTCAATGTAGTTAGTGAATTGCATCTGAGTCAAAAATTGCCACTGCCGTCTCATTCCTGTTTTTAATTGTGCCAATTACCGCTTTTATATATGCGAAAATCATGAAGCTCTCTTCAAACGTCACTGTCGCAGCACTCACAGGAACACGTCGAGCGAAAATGTTTGTGCTGACTCTCCAGGTGCTCGGAGACAACTGACCTGCCACTCATTCGTTAGCTTGGAACGCCCGCTACAGAACTCTGTCGCTGTGCGTATGCGCGTAAGTCGACCACTTGGAGAAGGATAAAACGGTCACTGGACTCTACTATGCTTAATTATCGGATCGATTCGACGAGATCTCAAAATCGGTTCTTACAAAAGTGCACGATCTCGTATTGACACACCGCCTTTTGAAGGTGCTCGAGATAGCTGAGATCGTAAGTATCTCAAAAGATCTCGTTAGTGATATCAATTTAACCCATGATATTGGATAAGAGAAAGCACTCGGCTCTATTAATGTCCTATTAGCTCACACCGGACAATAATAGCAAACGTGAGACCATTTTACAGAAGTGTTTGACAGTGTTTAAGCGCAATCGCGGTTAAGGTTTCTGCACCGTTGTGTAACCCTTTAAGACCACCGTTTGCTAGAATACCCAAATAGTAATCTAGATCGGCTAACTGGAGGAGAGCTCTACCAAACTGAGTTTCTGTACTGAGTCGACGCTGAATTTTCGAAAGAATTGCAAGTGGTGAGGCCTTGACAACCCATAAGCTGCCACCTACAATGTCGCCCCGGCTAAATTGGTTGTATTATAGGCTACTGTCTGTACCCTCATCCACCGTTGTGATCCCAGAAAACAGATGCCATCAGCTTTCTCGGAGATATGGTAGCCTTCTTTTTCTTCGAAGTTCGATAGTGTCGTGCAATGTTTTGACTGTTCCTTGGTCTCTGGTGCATACTAGAGGATCCGTGTCAACAGTGCCTTTCAAAAATAAGAGTCTATTCAATTGATATTGCTCTATTGTCAGCTATAAATGTTATCACCAATAGTTGGCGGTAGAAAAATTCTAGCGAAGAGTTAGATTGTATGAAAACTGCTCAATTCAGCCTCTAGCGATTCCATTAATGCCAGTATATATATAAGTATATATTAAATAACTGCAAAATAGATAGTGGTTAATAATCAAAACTTGGCACGTGCCAATTTGCAAAGCATCGAGATTTATTTATAAATTTGCGCTTGAATTCTAAATAAATGTTTTACCAGCTGAAAGGGTTAAAGGGTTACCCACACATGCAAATCACATTCCATCTAACATTCTAAAAGTGTGCCTTATCAGAATCCACATTCTATGTAAAATTTTTGTTCGACTTGATTTTGGAAATGTTTTTCTTGCTAATTCTCAGTTAGCGTCTATTTATAAGATTCTTTTCGTACCTTGATTTGATTGCAGGTATAACAAAGGAGAAATTTATTCAAGTTACCTTTCCCAAAATACCATATAAATAGCAACAACAAATTTGGCACGCACTTTTTCGTATGCTTTATGTTTGTTGGTATATTGACTTTAACTGGAACATAATTTAGCTGGACGCTTAGTAAAAGCGATTTTCTATAAATATGCTAATTTATGCTCCTATTTGCATATACATATTAGACAGATAAAAACATTAATAGAAGAAGATAAGAATACACATACATATATATATATGTGTATATTATTAGTTACAACCTGTTTCAGGTATATTTTTTTTATATTCTGTAATCGATAGATTAAAATAGTATAATTCTGCTGAATCATTACCATAAAAGCAAGAAGTCAAGAGGAGATATAAAGATATAGAGTTCAAAGCTCCTGTAAGCTTGTGATTAACATTCAAAAGCGTTGTTTGTCTGTCTTCAAAGTTACGCGAAATGTTTTTTTACCTATTTCTACAATATGCGTGTCTTTTTTTTTTAATTTTTTCTTATTTTGTATTCCATCTATTACAGTGATTATCGGTTGCTTACACGAGCTTCTCCTCTCGCTTGAGAACACCGGATTGGAGCTATGTCTGTGGACAAATTGTTAGAAGCTTTTTCATGCAAGTTATTTAGGGTTTAAATTTTTATTTTTGTTGGAAAAGAGATCGAATATCTTCTTTCTTTTAGTAAGTATGTGTCCAGTTTGTATGGAAGCTATATGCTATAGTAATCCGATTTGAACAATTTTTTCGAAGATTATGTTATTACCTTAAGCAGTCATGCCAAATTTCGTGAAGTATCACGTCAAATAGGAAAGTTTTTCATACAAGCCCTTGATTCCGATCGTTCGGTTTGTATGGTAGCTATATGCTATAGTGAGCCGATCTGAACAAATTCTTTCGATATTACATTATTTCTATAAAATATATTTCATACTAAGTTTCATGAAGATATATCGTTAAATGAGGAAGTTTCCCATGCAAGCATTTGATTCTGATCATTCAGTTTTTATGGTAGCTATATGCTATAGTTAACCGATCTGAACAATTTCTTTGGATACTACATTGTTGCCCTAGGGGCTAGTTTGTATATATAATCCTGGCTTTGTGATCATTTG